CACATGCCCTCCGCCTCTCTCATGCTCTCCTTCTCCCTCCCCCTCCCTGCGTGGGCCCCGCCTGGCCAGGTGCCCAAGCTGACGCTCATCATCGGCGGCAGCTTTGGCGCGGGCAACTACGGCATGTGCGGCCGCGCCTACTCCCCTGACTTTCTATACATGTGGCCTAACGCTCGGTGAGGCGGCCACGGGTGCGGGGCTCCCTGTGGAAGGGGCGAGGCGGGGTCAGTGGGTGGTGGGTGCGGGAAGGGGGCGAGGCGGGGTCGGCGTGTGGTGGTGGTGGTGGTGGTGGTGGTGGCGGTGGTGGGCAAGGAAGCCTGAGGGCGGGAAGCGCCTTTTCTCCCTACTTTCCTTGCATGCGGCCCACAGCACGGCGAGGGTGGGGTGCTGACATGGCGGTGCTGACGTGACGGAGGCGCTGCCGGATTGCTGTGCTGCCCTTCTCGCCGCGGCTGTGCCTCCCTCTGGTTGCCGCCGCCTGCCCGGCCGCCCAGGCGCCGTGCTCACCACACCTGCACCACACACACTCACACTCACGCACGCACACACAGTCGCCACCCACCCAGCCTCCCGACCCGCCGTGCCGCCGTGCAGCATCAGCGTCATGGGCGGCGAGCAGGCGGCCAGCGTGCTGCACCTGGTGGAGAGCGAGAAGCGGGCGCGGGAGGGGCGGCGCTGGGCGGCGGAGGAGCAGGAGGAGTTCAAGCGCGCCATTCGGGACAGGCACGCTGCTGCTTGCAGAACACGAACAGAAAGCAGATGGGGGCGCCTGGCTGCGTATGCGCGTGTGCCCATGCCGGCATGGTGTGTGTGTGTGTGTGGAACGGGCATTGGACGGCACGCGGCGGTACCTTCGAAGTGAATTTCAGTTGCCGCCTGGGCTGCGAGGCCATGTGGGGGGAGTCCCACATGTGCCTGGCCCGGCATGCATGCCTGTATGCCCGCAGGTACGATGCCGAGGGCCAGCCCGGCTTTGCCTCGGCGCGGCTGTGGGACGACGGCGTGATTGCGCCGCAGGACACACGGGCGGTGCTGGGGCTCAGCCTGGCGGCGGCCATGAACCGGCCGCAGGGACGCACCCGCTTTGGCGTGTTCCGCATGTGACGCAGCCCCAGCTCCGATTGTTGGTTGGCGGCCGCCTCAGGCTATCGCCACTCCTCTGTATCTGGCAGCGGGCCGCACTCTCCTGCACATCCTTTTGCACAGGCGCTGGCTGCATGCAGCCACGATGGCCTGCTGGCCCTCCACACTCGCTATCTGATCCTGATGGAGGTGCTCAGCCATATGTTTCACGGTGTAAACTGATGTTAATTGCGGGGTGCAAGGGGAGCTGTGCAAGGGGATGACGAATCACAAATCACCGGGCGATGGGCCAGTTTGCCAACCAATTTGGTTGGCAGGAGCTGATTGAATCCAAGTAGGTGAATTTATTGCTAGGTACTGGAAGAATGCAACAAGCGGGCAGCTACGGCTGTGCCAGCGGGCACCTTCTGGGGTGGCGCCGGCACCCTACTCATGCTGCAACGCCGGCGCCCTCCAGGTATGGCTCCACCGCGTCTCGCAGGCACGCCAGCACAGCCTCCTGCGCCTGAGCCGTGGGGTGCAGCCCGTCCACAAACTGGTCTTCGGAGGTCGGGTCCAGGCCCTGGCCGCAGTCGAGGTACGCGGCGCCCTGGCGTGCCGCCAGCTCAGCGTACTGCAGATTGGTGTCCCGGACCGCCTGAGGGTCCACGTCGGGCCAGTCGATGGGCAGCAGGCCCAGCACAAGCACCTGCAGCCAGGGAGGGGAGAGTGGGTGCAGGGTGTTGGGATCAGCATCGGCGCATTAAATTTCGAGCAACCAAGAAAAACTATAGGTGGGGCCAGCACGGGGCAGTCGCGGTCGCTGGCGGGAGGCTGGCGGCCACCGGCGGCGGCGCACGGGCCGCTGTCGGGCGCGCGCACACGTCCCGTGCGCAGCCCAAGCGCTGCTGCATGCTGTGGCGCCCCCGGTCAGTGCCACTGCGAGGGATCCAGTGATGCAACCCCCAGGGCGTGCCCCCGTCCCACTTCCCAGGTCACGCCCCTGCCGCCGCCCTCTCCTGCACCCACCCGGGTGTCTGGCCACGCGGCCCGCATCCACCGCACCAGCCACTCCAGCTGCCCCGCGGGCGCCTCCAGGCCTTTGAGCGGCAGCAGGTTGTTGGCGCCGATGAGCAGTGCGGCGGCGCGGGGCGCCGCCGCGGGCCGCTCGCCGCCTTCCAGGATGCGCCACGCCAGCTGCGCCACGCTGGACCCACACATGCCCAGGGCCAGGGCCCGCCAGTCGCCAAACCGGGCCTCAAAGGTGCCGTCCCGCACAAACAGGCGGGTAATACTGTCACCATAGAGCACCAGGTCGAGGGTCACTCCTTCCGCGTCTGCTTCCGCCACCGCCTCTGCCGCCGCCCGCTGCTGCCTGCGCTGCCCGCCGCACTCGTCGTAATCCTGGGGAGGCTGGGAGGCCCAGGGCGGCGGCCCGTCCAGCGGCTCCAGCACCAGCCGGGGCACCGCAGCGGCGGGCTGCTGCGCCGGGGCCGGGACCGGGGCCGGGGTAGAGACCAAGAGCAGCGGCGCCGGCGCGGGTGCCTGCAGCGGGCTGAAGGCGCCAGAGCTGCTGCTGCTGTCTGGCGCTGCCAGAGAGGCCTGGGCGGGGCTGGCGGGCGGGGTGGGAGGGTCTGCCACCGCCACCGCCGCCACTGCCGCCAGCAGGTGCACCGCTGCCACGACAACCAGGGCGGCTGAGCGCCGTCTCATCGATTGCATGATTGCCCCCCTGACTGGCAGATGTGGTGGGGCGGTCGGGTGGTGCACGCAAGGCAACTTGGGCAGCCGGGTTTGGCTTTCCTCGTCTCGCCTCGCCTCGGGGCACTTGTAGCACTCCCAGAGCTGCTGCCGGGCCCCAAGGGTGGGAATGAGCAAAGAAGTGCGAGGTCTGAGGATCTCGCATTCAGGCGCGTTGCTCCAACTTTTCAAGTAGCTGACATGTACCCGTCTTCTCCATATCAGGCATTTAATGCTTGTTTGGTGGATTGCGGTGGCCGCAACCGTATATGGGGGGCCAAAGTTTTGGGTGCCGTGAGCCACATGCCTGCACATGCCGCTGCCGCCAAACACCCTCCTGTTCAACGAGGGCAGGGGGCCATTGAGCGACGGGCCGCCCTTCAAAGAATCTGCTGGCGATGCACGTGCATATTTCTGCTGCATGCACGCTTCAAAGCACAAGGGCGACTGCCGCCGGGCGGGAGCAGCGGCCGAGGGCGCCTGCTGAATCGAGTTTGTGCCCAGGCGGCTCATGTGCTTGTGCAGTGGCGGAGCTTTGTTAGCATCAACTATATCATCGCGGGGTTGGTCAGGTGGCGGCATAGCACGCGGGAGGGGAAGGGGAAGCAGTGGCACTGTGTGCAGGGCGCAGGAGCAGGGGATCCAGCTGGCATGGCGGGAAGCAGCCTCATCACTCCATGCCCCCATTCGTCGGATTCTACGAATACCTAGATAGATGCACAATTAATTCACTGCCCAATTTGGGCCGCAGGGCCTCTCCTGTGAGACTACGACGCGCCGCGTTCCATCTCCTTTCGCCTCTGCGCTGCGCACATGGCTGCAAGAAGTGATCCACCGAATTTGCGCTGTGCAAGTGCGCTGCTGGTCGCCATTGCGATCATCAACATTGCACATGGCGGGTGGGTCTCAGCGGCTAGCCGCTGATCGACTTGCAGGGGACCATCGGAGTCGGGAGGACACGGGGAGCATGTCAGGAGCCGCTGCCAGAGGGGGTCGCACACCGGCGGGGGGGGCGGGGGTCACACCGGCGGGGGCCGCTTGGCGGCGCCGGGCTGCCCGCCCCAACGCCTTCTGTCATTGCACAGCTGTTCAGGCAGGCTCCCCACCTGGCATGCCTTTCCTGCTGCACCCCCGTCGCAGGGCGTGTGTGGAGGGATTCCCGCAGCCAGGTGCGGCCACAGGGAGCGCCCTGGAGGGCGCTGCGCCGCACGGCAGCACTCGCGGCATCGCCGGCCCCAGGGACCGCCGCCGTCTGCTCACCAGGCGCGCTGCAACGGAGCAGGCCCAGGCGCCTGCGGTGGAGGAGGAGGCAGGCGCCGAGCCATGGACGGCCGAGGGACCCGCCGCGCTGACCCGAGCGGTGCGGCGGCCTCCGCGCCCCGCCAGCGTCCCGCAGTCCGCCGCCAACGCCACCACCGCCGGCAGCGCGGCCAGCGGCGTGGCAGCCAGCGGCGCCGGCCCTTCCATCCTGGATGAGCCACTGCCGGACTGGGTGCAGCTGGGGGAGCTTCGGGAGCGGTGGCAGGAGGACCTTGAGGCCAACCAAGCCAAGGTAGCAGAGCTGAATGAGGGACCACCCAGCCGCCTGGACTTTGTGCTGCTGGGCGACTCCATCACGGCCTTCAACCGCAGGTGAGGCAGGCTGCCGGATCGGCCGCCGGTCGGGTCGGCAGGAGAGGGGCTGCCATGGAGCGCCCGCCGGCCGCTGCCGGCTGCTCGCCAGGCGTCCCCACGCCGCCGTTGCTGCGCCTCACCGGCTTCTGCCCAGGCATGCCTGCCCCCTCTTGTTCTTTCTTCCTTGTACAGGCAGGACGACACCTGGCAGAGCCACTTTGGCGACCTGGCGGCGCTGCCCCTGGGCGTCAGCGGCAGCACCGTGGAGATGCTTGCCTGGCGGCTGGCAGTGGGCGGCGAGCGGCCCGAGCCGCCGCCCCGCGTCGCCGCGCTGCTCATCGGCATAAACAATCTGTACAAGGATGTGTCCGACCCGGCTGTGCCGCTTGAGTGGCTGGTGCGGTGGCTGCGGGCCGCGTGGCCATACACCCAGGTGGGGGGAGGAGAGGGAGAGGGCGGCGGCAGGGGCGGCGGGAGAGGGAGAGGACGGCTGCAGGTGGCGGCGAGCGCAGCGCTTGCAGCAAGGCTGGTGAACTCAGCGGGGACTGCTCAGTCCCGCCTTGGTGCTGCAATTGATTGAGCACAGCGCTGGGCCGCTGCCGACACCCAGGCTGCCGTGCTGCTGCGCCGCCTCCCCTGCGCAGCTGGTGGTGCTGGCCCTGCTGCCCACGGACAGGGTGGACGGCGAGCGGGTGGATGCCGCCAACGCAGACTATGCAGCTGTGGCGGAGCGGCAGGGCGTGCCCTTTCTGGAGTGCGGGCTGGGCCTGGATCCAAGAGACGAGTCTTTGTTTAGTGAGTTGTGTAGTGAGCGGCAGAGCGGGTGTGCTAGGCCGTGCCTGCATGCAGCAAACTCGAGACCGCTGGGCACTGCATTCCGCGCTGCGCAACGCCGCGCTGGATCTCAGATCTGCCGCCGGCCAGCGCCCTGGCCTGCCCACGATTGCGGCGCGCCGTGCGCACTTGCGCACGCGTCCACCCACGCAGTCCCACTGCCGCCACCACCACACGACCTCACCCCCGCCCCTCCCTCCCTGCCTGCCCGCCCCACCAGGCGACGGCCTGCACCCAAATGCGGGCGGCCAGGACGTCTTGCTGGGGTGTGTGCGGGCTGGAGTGCAGGCATACCTGTTCCCACCCGACCCTGCCCTCGGGTGAGCAGCGCGCAGCTGAAGCAGCGCGGGAGCGGTGGAAGCTGCAGCGATGCTGCAGCGCAGGCGGCCGGCCAGGCGCATCACCCCCCAGCCACGCCACCGCCTCGCAGCCCTCAGCACGACCCGCCAGCGGCCCCTGAGTTCTCTGAGCGGCGCTCAACAAATTCACCTGACAGAATGGGACACAGGAATGTGCCAGCAGTGCAAATCTGACAGTCAGAACACCACCATCAAACGTTACGCCTGTCCTCAAGCTTTGAACGGCCACAAAACAATCCTGTCTGCCCATGCGCGACCCGATTAATTCCCCCCATTTCTGCACCATTTCTAGAAGTTCTGCATTATTCTTCGTGTTCATTGACACATGCCCTCGGCCCACATTAGGCTTCCAACATCCCGCACAGAAAACACGCCTTGCTCCCTGTTTTCAGCAATTCACCACCACCACTCCCCTTTTGCATGTAACAGCGGCAGCCCCTTCCTCGGCCCAGCGGGAGATGCCGGCGTGCGGCAGTGCATGTCGTGGCTGCCCTCTTAGTCACGTGAGGGACCTGGCGCGGCGCTCGCGCGGCTTGGCGCCGGCGCCCCGGCCCAGCAGGCCCAGCAGCTCCCGCTGCCCTGCCCTGCCCTGCTGCAGTGCCAGCCCTGATCTGCTGCATTGCCCACACTGCTGCCCTCCTCTACCTGTGCCGACATCCATGCAGCGTCACATTTCAGGGGAGACAGGTGTAGCAACACTACGCAACAAGACACGAGGACAGAACGGCAAAGTCAGTGCTCAAGGGGCGGGTGGACAGCGACTGGGTCATGAGAAAAGGACTGAGACGAGACGAGCTAACAGGGAGACAGCCAGCGGCGATGGAGGCCGGCGGCGGCGGCGTTGAAGCGACGACAGCAACAGGGGGCGTACCAATGAGCGCAGCGCTTGTCAAGCAAGAATAATCTCACAACCAAAACTGGGCTCCCGGGGGTGGGGGAGCATGGGCTTGGACAAGGCTAGCAGAGGGCGGGGAAGCGGGCGGGAAAGCGCTGGGCCGGGTACCAGCCAGCAGGGACCAGCCAGCGGAGCAGCGGCAGGCGCCAGCAGCGCTGAAGCGGGGAGGAGCAAGAAATGGAGGCAGGTGGAAAATGGCATGCGCTGGCATATGGGTTGGTACTGGAAAGGGGCAGGTGGTTGGGCATCTGTTGGCAGCAAGATGGGGCAGCGCCTGGCTTCCGGGCAGCTGGCGGTGTGCACGACGACGTGCAAGAGATTCTGTTGAGGGGTATGAGTGGGGTATGAGTGGGGCTGATGCTTTCCTAATCTTTAAAGAAAACGAAAATTCAAGGGGCGATTGGCTCCTGTGCCATGATCAAGGCCCTCCTCGTGCCTCCTCCACGCCAAGCCCTCCTGCCGCCGTCCCTGGCGCAGCCCTGCCTGACCCTCACACTCCGAACGCCGCCGCGACGGCCGCACTGGTGGCACCGGCGTGGCCGTCCTGCCGCGCCGCGGGCGGCTCGGGGCTGCTGGGGTGTAAGGCATCCTCGCTGGCCCCGCTGCTGCTGCGTCCGGGCAGCTGGGAGGCCACCGCCACCGGCGACCCCACACCCTCCTGCCGCTCTGCCGGCGGCGGCAGCGGCGACAGCGGCCCTCCCAGCTTCTGCCCGGCAAACGCGGCCGCCGCCATCGCACCCACCAGGGCGGCGTGCGGGCTGAGGGCCGCAGCGTCGGTGGGCGTGCCCCCAGCTGCCGCCTGCCGCTCCGATTCGTGGAGTGCCAGCAAGGCTGGCATGCCTACCGGCAGCACGGCTGCAGCAGGCGGCGTGCTGTCGCCGGGCCGGCCCGCAGCCAGCGCCGCGAGGGAGAGCGGGGTGGTGGCAGCCCGCGGCGTGCTGCCGGCGGGCAGGGCGCCTGCTGCTGCGCTGCCGGGGCGCCCGATGGGCTGCACAGTCAGGATGGGAGGCAGCACGGGCGCCGGCAGCACCGGCAGCTGCAGCGGGGCGATGATGAGCGCTGGGGCGGGCACCAGGCCGGGCAGGGGCACCGCGGGCTGCGCCGCCTGCTGCGGCTGCGGCTGCCGCGACGGCCGCACGCGTGGGCTGCGGGCCACTGGCAGGCAGCCGTTGGCAGCTGGCGCCGCCTCGCTGCTCGGCAGAAGCGGCCCGGCTGCGCTGCCAGGCAGGCTGCTGCTGCTGGCGCCCTGAGCCCCGGGCCAGCCGGAGGCTGCCGCCGCCGCCTCTGCTGCCACAAACAGCGCCCCGGCGGTGCCGCGCGCCAGCGGCGGCGCAGGCGAGCCAGGGACGGCGGCCGCAGGCGCCGCGCCGCCGCCGCCCAGGCTCTCGCTGCTGCCGCTGCCGCCGCCGCCGCTGCCGCCATTGACAACCGCGGCCGCGGTCGCAGGCACGGCCACGGCCGCCGCGGTGGGGGTGCCGCCGCCGCCGCCGCCGCCTCCGCTGGTGGTCAGCACCAGGCCCGGCTGCAGCTTCATCAGCTGCTCAGGCCAGTCCTCTGGCAGGTATACGGGCATGCGGTCTGCTCCCCCCATGCCTTTGGGGCAGATCTCCCGCATTACTGCAGGGGGGCGGGGAGGGCGGCAGGGCCATGCAGGGCGGGGGAGGCAGGTGAGGCGACGCCTGGGAGCGGGGTGGAGGGCCGGGTGGGGAGGAGGCCGCGCGCGGAAGGAAGGAGCTCCGCAGCGCGGCGCGGCGCGGCACAGCACAGCGCGGCACAGCACGGCGCAGCAGGGTGCAGCAGGGAGCGGACAGCGCAGCAGATTGCAGCACAGCGCAGCACAGCGCAGCACAGCGCACCCAGCGGGCCCGTCATGCCCAGCGGCGGGAAGTTGCACTTGGCGGCGCCGCCCTTGATCTGGCGCTTGCGAAGGTCGTACACCACCGCCGCCTCCTCCGCCGTGTCAAAGGTGCCCAGCCACCTGCGGGGCGAGAG